ATGGCATTGGGAGAGCATCTCCTGCCCACAATAGTGCCGGCATGAACAGTGCAAAACTTGTGTAGCTTGGGGAAGGAACTTTCACATCCCTGAGCAACATAAATTAGATCAACTTACTCAGTAGCATAGACCTGTCCCTAGGAAATATTTAAGCACCTCTATTACTAAAGGTCCTCATCTTTTCCAATCCCTTCCAAAGAGCACCTCGATCTTTAGGTGTTTATCCTCATAAGGCTGGGAAGTACTATTAGTCTCATTTTACAGATGGTGAGCTGATGTACCCCCCCCCCCCGCCCCAAAAAAGTGACACTTGCGCAAAGTCTCACACAGACTGTAGCAAAGCAGGGAATTGAACCCTGGTCTTCTAAATTTCAGGATAGCATCCTAACCACCATGTTATCCTTCCTCTGCCTATGTCTGCAGAATCTGAACTAATAAGTCAGAGGTGTGAACTGATCCATTCATCTCAGTGTGTATTAACTCAGAAAACCAATTATTTTAAATGTCAACATTGTTATAACAACTTTCTCTGACAGTTAAAGTATTAACTATTTCTCTGTATTAACTATTTCTGGAAGGGAGGGTCCTATTATGAAGATTTGCATAATTTACTGTGACTGCAGACCATTTTGACACTACAAGCAAGAGGACTTGGAACAGTACCATGAGTGAGTCTTCCTGACCTTCCAATCAAGGAAGAGCCAAGCAGAGACCAATGGGGCATCTGAGGCCCTCCAAAGGGGAGCGGAGTTCAAGAAGCCTCTAGGAAGAAAAGCCATGTAGGGAGAAACAGCAGAACCCATGTATTTAGACCCCAATGAAAGGAAGCTGATCGCAAAGAACTAAGAGCATGAGTGAGCATACTTGGAATACTTGCACAATTTCATGTGGGTGAGTTTATTTTGTGAGCTGAGCTTGAAAGATTACAACTCCAAGTACACACCCTGCCCTTTCCTGAATGATCTGTAACAAATCCAATTTGATGCAATGGGAGACAACTGTACATGCACACTGCACCAGGCCCTTCTTGCACTTTTTCTGTGTGTAATACAAATGCATAAGACTAAATATGTGCATTGTAAATTTCAATCCTTCAGCGCTTTCCTTGCTTGGTCAAGACCAGAGAAAGCAAGGAAAGCACTACCTGTATACAGCCACACTCGCAATGGACAGAGCTGACTAAGGTAGAATAGTATCAGAGGGGTAGCCAAGTTAGTCTGTATCCACGGATGTAGTGGCTGGCTCACTACAAAAGCAATTTTTCCTCTCTTGGTATTGACACCTCCTCATCAATTATTGGGAGTGGGCCACATCCACCCTGACTGAATTGACCTTGTGAACACTGGCTTTCCACTTGTAAAATAATTCCCTTCTCTTCATGTGCCAGTATATTTTTGCCTGTATCTGTAATTTTCACTCCATGCATCTGAAGAAGTGGGGTTTTTTATCCATAAAAGTTTATGCCCAAATAAATCTGTTAGTCTTTAAGGTGCCACTGGACTCCTCATTGTTTTTAAGGTAGACTAATTACACTTTGGGGTTAGCAGCATTGGTGTAGCTACTTCAATGGAGACCTCAAGTGAATTATCAGTCTGGCTTAGTGACCTTAGGACGTTCTTGCTGGCTGCAATCTAGAAGAGGGTCTAGAAGCGATGGGGGTGTCAACATCTCTCTATCACAATAATAGTTGGAGGGAGAGAACAGCCTTCTTAAAAATTAAGGTAATTCAGGCAACATCTCACCTCAGAATGCTTCTTTTACATTTAGAATTGGAATAAGAACTTACAAATAATTTCTTGAATTAGTATCCCTAGTTAATGCTGTGCACCTCATTGACCCAGGCTTTGTTTTTAGTCAAGAAGACTTCACTCTGATTTTCACTTTAAAAATTCTCCTCTATATTTTGTCATCTATCCCCACTCTAGCTCTTTAGTTCCCTTTTCTGGCTATAACTATTAGGGATTGTATAAACACAAATTTGTACTAGTTTAATTCAACCAATTTAGTTGAAGCAAACCCCTGTGCTGAGACACTTTTTTAACCAATTTTAAAATCAGTATCAACTTAAGGTTGCCCTTTATGAATTTACAGGAGCAAGCAAAACAGATATAAACCAGGTTTTGGCTGATGTGTCTACACAAAGTTGCGTTGATTTAGCTAAGTGTTTAAAAATCACACTTTTAGTTAAACTGGTGCAACTTTGTGTTTGAACCAAGTCTTTATTTACTTTCTGTTCTGTTCTCCCCACCCCACAGCTGATTAACACTTATCATATATCTATATATCAACACCTGTGGCTTTTTGACCTGTTAGACAACCTTTTAGTTACGGGGTCAGATCCTCTGCCATGTCAATGGAGTGATGCAAATTTACTTCAGTGAAGTTATGCCAGTTCACAGCGTCTGAGGATCTGAACCATGTTATCTTTCTATCTCCTATGCAGAAACCAGCTATATTTATCTTCTTTCCCAACACCACTTTTTCTCTACAACATCCCCAGTACTTTGCCTTGTCATCCACCTTTCCCTCTTCTGACATGGTCTTATAAACTGACAAACTTAGCCATGCTCCTCAGATCAGATTTTCTTCAGAGCCTTAAAAAAAAAAAAAAAAATAGATAAAATGAAAACCAGACAAGTTTTATAAACAGCAGTATCCCTAGGTGATTTGAAGTTTCAGATAAATCAATAACCCAGTGATCTAAGCATGGACACTATTTCCCTTAGCGCCCCTCCTCTATTTGTGCTATGTTGATGACATCTTAATCATATGGACCCATGGAAAGGAGGCCCTTGTTGAAATCCAGGTGGAATTCTTCAATCTGTAGACCACCATCAACCTCAGCCTGGACCAGTCCACACAAGAGACCCACTTCCTGGACACTACAGTGCAAATAAGTGATGGCCACATAAACACTACCCTATACTGGAAACCTATTGACAGCTATACTTCCCTGAATGGATCCATTGTTTACAGCCAAGCCCTAAGAGACAACCGAATTTGCTCCAATCCCTCAGACAGAGACAAACACCGACAAAATCTTCCTCAAGCATTCTTAAAACTACAATACCCACCTGGGGAAGTGAGGAAACAGATTTATAGAGCAAGACGGGTACCCAGAAGTCACCTACTACAGGACAGGCCCAACAGGGAAAATAACAGACCACCACTAGCTGTCACATGCAGCCCCCAGCTAAAACCTCTCCAGCACATCAATGATCTTTTTAATGTTTCTCTCAGTGACTTATTCTTGTAGGTACAAGGTATACAGTGTCATTTCTTGACTCTTGTAGTCAGATATTAAATTGTATAATTTATATATTTATATATATACTTGTATAATTGTTGCACACTATTTTCTAAATTAAAATAAACTTTATACTTAGAATTTCTGTTTGCTAGGTCTGTTTATGCTAGTGACTTTCAAAAACAAGCATGAGTAACTGAATTTCACATTTGAAGTTGTACAGTCAGATTCTTTGTTGATTGCTACCTAGAGTTTAGATTTGCTTTCATAATTTGCTTTCTTGTGTCTATGCTGTTGTTTGTTGCCATGGACAGGGCTAATGTTATAATGTATGTATATGTGTATGTATATGTATGTGTGTGTATATATGTATGTATGTGTATATATATAGTATATATATAGTATATAGTATATATAGCAGTGACTTTTTGTACAGTTGAAACTAGAAAATGAGACCAGTGCTGTCTGTGTACAAACTACAAAACAGATGGAATGCTGACTGGCTATGTCTGAACAAATAGAAAGATTGTGGCACTTGCTGATGGTAGGATAGCCTCCTGAATAAACCTCAAATGTGGAAAAGTTGAAGGATGTACTAAAATGTAAAAACTTTCCCTGAAGTGCCACTTACTATTATGAATGTTTCCTGAAATTAAGGTGGAAATAGCGAGGAGTCTGGTGGCACCTTAAAGACAAACAGATTTATTTGGGCATAAGCTTTCGTGGGTAAAATCCCCACTTCACATGCATGGAGTGAAAACTACAGATGCAGGCATAAATATACTGACACATGAAGAGTAGGAAGTTACCATACAAGTGGAGAACCCGTGTTGACAAGGCCAGTTCAGTCAGGGTGGATGTGGTCCACTCCCAATAATTGATGAGGCGGTGTCAATACCAAGAGAGGGAAAATTGCTTTTGTAGTGAGCCAGCCACTCCCAGTCCCTATTCAAGCCCAAATTAATGGTGTTACATTTGCAAATGAATTGTAGCTCTGCAGTTTCTCTTTGAAATCTGTTTTTGAAGTTTTTTTTTTGTTGAAGGATGGCTACTTTAAATCCACTGAATGCATCCGATGAAGTGAGCTGTAGCTCACAAAAGCTTACGCTCAAATAAATTTGTAGTCTCAAAGGTGCCACAAGTACTCCTTTTCTTTTTGCAAATATGGACTAACACGGCTGCTACTCTGAAACCTACTTTAAATCTGTTATAGAATGTCCAGGAAAATGATCCTCTTTCGCTTTCATTTGAAATGTCATTTTCTAACTTTCTTGCTTTAAGTGACCCCACCCCTCCCTACAGTCCCTCAGTGCCTCTTTCCAAAGTTCCTAGGCTCCCAGTAAAGTTTCACACTTTTAAATCACGATGAATTTCTGCATCCACCTCCAAGAGAGTAAAGTACCCTCTAACAGCAAAAGGTTATTAAGGAATTCCCCGAGGGGTACACGCCCTCCCACTTTGGCCTGCGGAATAAAGGAGGGGGGAAGGAAGGCAGAGAACAAGATCACTGAAAACACCCCTCCTTCCCCAAGATTGCAAGAGAAATGAGGCAGGGAGGACAATGGAAGTCAATAAATATCCCAAAGCCACTGCTGCACCAGGAAAAGGAGGGGAGGGAAATGGGAACTCCCCCCCCCCCCATTTACCTCACCGAGGAAGTGGGAGCATAGGCGCGATGAGAAGACGCCGCCGCCCCTCGCTGCTGAGGCTGGGGCTGGGGTGGGGGCTTCCCTAGTCCTGGCTGGCGCGTTACCTGCGGCGGGGGGCTGCTCTTCACACCGTTGGCATCTGGCAGCCGCTGTCTGGCGGGGCTGCCCCCGGGGCAGGTGTCCCGGGCCGGGAGATGGTCCCCACCGCCCACGGTCCCCGCCAGCCCGTCGCCGGCTCCTTCCCCCGCGGCGGGGAAGAGCCCGCAGCAGCGCTGGAAGCGGGCGACAGGCTGGGAGCTGTGGAGGCTGCGGAGCACCCGGGCCATGCTCCAAGGACGCGAGCGCCCGAGCCGCCTGCGCGCTGCGGGAGCCCCGGCACTGGCAGCGCCCCAGGCCGGCGGCCGCGGGTCACTGAACAGGTGCAGCCGCCTGCCTCGGCCCCAGCTCCGCCCCGCGCAGGTGGGCCTCCCCCGCCTGGCTGCGTGGCTGCTTGCGGCGTACCCGCGCCGTCCGGCTCCCCGCACCGCACGCCGGCACCATGCGCCCCTCTGAGCCCCTGTCCCCGGCGCCATGGGGTGTGCGCGCCCCTCTGAGCCCGTCTCCCGCCCCCGAACCCCTCCCCCGGCACCATGGGGTGTGCGCGCCCCTCTGAGCCCGTCTCCCCCCCCGAACCCCTCCCCCGGCACCATGGGGTGTGCGCGCCCCTCTGAGCCCGTCTCCCCCCCCCGAACCCCTCCCCCGGCACCATGGGGTGTGCGCGCCCCTCTGAGCCCGTCTCCCCCCCCGAACCCCTCCCCCGGCACCATGGGGTGTGCGCGCCCCTCTGAGCCCGTCTCCCCCCCGAACCCCTCCCCCGGCACCATGGGGTGTGCGCGCCCCTCTGAGCCCGTCTCCCCCCCCCCGAACCCCTCCACCGGCACCATGGGGTGTGCGCGCCCCTCTGAGCCCGTCTCCCCCCCCCCCCGAACCCTTCCCCCGGCACCATGGGGTGTGCGCGCCCCTCTGAGCCCGTCTCCCCCCCCCGAACCCTTCCCCCGGCACCATGGGGTGTGCGCGCCCCTCTGAGCCCGTCTCCCCCCCCCCCCGAGTCCCCTCCCCCGGCACCATGGGGTGTGCGCGCCCCTCTGAGCCCGTCTCCCCCCGAAAACTCCCCCCCCGGCACCATGGGGTGTGCGCGCCCCTCTGAGCCCGTCTCCCCCCCCCCCGAAACCGCTCCCCCGGCACTATGGGGTGTGTGCTCCCCTCTGAGCCCCTGTACCCGGCACCATGGGGTGTGCGCGCTCCTCTGAGCTCATCTGCCCCCCCCGAAACCCCTCCCCCGGCACCATGGGGTGTGTGCTCCCCTCTGAGGCCCTGTACCCGGCACCATGGGGTGTGCGCGCCCCTCTGAGCCCGTCTCCCCCCCCGAACCCTTCCCCCGGCACCATGGGGTGTGCGCGCCCCTCTGAGCCCGTCTCCCCCCCCCCCCCCCGAAACCCCTCCCCCGGCACCATGGGGTTTGTGCCCCTCTGAGCCCATCTCCCCCCGAAAACTCCCCCCCCGGCACCATGGGGTGTGCGCGCCCCTCTGAGCCCGTCCCCCCCCCCCCGAAACCCCTCCCCCCGGCACCATGGGGTGTGCGCGCCCCTCTGAGCCCGTCTCCCCCCCCCGAAACCCCTCCCCCCGCACCATGGGGTGTGCGCGCCCCTCTGAGCCCGTCTCCCCCCCCGTAACCCCTCCCCCGGCACCATGGGGTGTGCGCGCCCCTCTGAGCCCGTCTCCCCCCCCCCCCCGAGTCCCCTCCCCCCGGCGCCATGGGGTGTGCGCGCCTCTGAGCCCGTCTCCCCCCCCCCCCGAACCCTTCCCCCGGCACCAAGGGGTGTGCGCGCCCTCTGAGCCCGTCTCCCCCCCCCCCAAGTCCCCTCCCCCGGCACCATGGGGTGTGCGCGCCCCTCTGAGCCCGTCTCCCCCCCCCCCCCCCCGAGTCCCCTCTCCCGGCACCATGGGGTGTGCGCGCCCCTCTGAGCCCGTCTCCCCCCCACCCCCGAAACCCCTCCCCCGGCACCATGGGGTGCGCGCGCCCCTCTGAGCCCGTCTCCCCCCCCCCCCCCCGAAACCTCTTCACCGGCACCATGGGGTTTGTGCCCCTCTGAGCCCATCTCCCCCTGAAAACTCCCCCCCCCGGCACCATGGGGTGTGCGCGCCCCTCTGAGCCCGTCTCCCCCCCCGAAACCCCTCCCCCGGCACTATGGGGTGTGTGCTCCCCTCTGAGCCCCTGTACCTGGCACCATGGGGTATGCGCGCCCCTCTGAGCCCATCTCCCCCCCCCCCAAAACCCCTCCCCCGGCACCATGGGGTGTGTGCTCCCCTCTGAGCCCCTGTACCCGGCACCATGGGGTGTGTGCGCCCCTCTGAGCCCATCTCCCCCCCGAAAACTCCCCCCCCGGCACCATGGGGTGTGCGTGCCCCTCTGAGCCTGTCTCCCCCCCCCGAAACCCCTCATCCCGGCACCATGAGGTGTGCGCGCCCCCTCTGAGCCCGTCTCCCCCCCCCGAAACCCTTCCCCCTAGCACCATGGGTTGTGTGTGCCCCGCCGAGCCTGTCTCATCCCCACCCCAGCAGGGGATGTGTGCGCCCCTCTGAGCCCGTCTCCCCCCCCCGAAACCCCTCCCCCGGCACTATGGGGTGTGTGCTCCCCTCTGAGCCCCTGTACCCGGCACCATGGGGTATGCGCGCCCCTCTGAGCCCATCTCCCCCCCCCCCAAACCCCCTCCCCCGGCACCATGGGGTGTGTGCTCCCCTCTGAGCCCCTGTACCCGGCACCATGGGGTGTGTGCGCCCCTCTGAGCCCATCTCCCCCCCGAAAACTCCCCCCGGCACCATGGGGTGTGCGTGCCCCTCTGAGCCCGTCTCCCCCCCCCCGAAACCCCTCACCCCGGCACCATGAGGTGTGCGCGCCCCTCTGAGCCCGTCTCCCCCCCCGAAACCCTTCCCCCTAGCACCATGGGTTGTGTGTGCCCCGCCGAGCCTGTCTCATCCCCACCCCAGCAGGGGATGTGTGCGCCCTTCTGAGCCCATCTCCCCACCAAGACACACACCCCCTGGCACCAGGGTTTGCGCACCCCTCTGAGCCCATCTCCCCCCTGAATCACCTCCCCCTGCCACTGTGGGGTGTGTGCGCCCCTCTGAGTCCCTCCCCCCTGCATGGGGGGTGTGTGCCCCTGTAAGCCCATCTCCCGCTTCCCCAAGTTCCCTCCCTCTGGCACCATGGGTTGTGTGTGCCCCACCAAGCCCATCTCACCCCCCACCCCGGCACTGGGGTGTGTGCGCCCCTCTAAGCCCATCTCCCCACCAAGACACACACCCCCTGGCACTGGGGTGTGTGCACCCCTCTGAGCTCTTCTCCCAATGTGACACCCCACCCCCCACCACTGAGAAGATATGGGGAGTGGTTATAGGCAATTGTGCCAAAATTGAAGTCTTGTGTCCTGGTTGATTCATCCGTACACCTAGATGATTAGGTAGTATCAATAGTGGGGGGAAGCTGCCTTCTGGCTGTAACTTGCTAGATGTAACTCTTCCTGGATGAAGACTTGGCCACAGCTATCCATGCTTTTGTCATGTCCAGACTAGATTATTGACACTCGCTCTATCTGGAACCGAACAAGGATGCAATGCAGAGGCTCTAGGTTGTATGGGAAGTAGTGTCTGCATTATTAATGGTACAAGCTGCTGTGAGTACACCACCCCGCTATCCCTTTTGAACTCCCAGACTGTTTCCATTGTTCAGCAAAACCTTTGGTCCTGATTTTCAAAGCTAACTACAGGTTGAAGACTGAGATACATGAGTGTCTATGCTTCTAATCATGACCTGCCAAGACAGCTGTGCTCTTCTGGGACTGTGCAGTTTACAAAGCTCCAGCTTGTTAGCTGGAGATAAAATATTTTTGTTCAAGGGAGTTTGGCTGTAGAACAATCTTCTAGAGGGGATCAGACTAATCTAGATCCTGACCACTTCCACTCTCAAAATCTTCGTATTTGACAAAGCATTTCTACCACCACAGTGATTTAATATACAATACCCAAGCTGGGAGAGAAGAAGAGCATGAACCCCCTTGCATTTCACGGAGGAATTTACCTGAAATACACTTAGTGATGGATGTTATAGAAAAAACATAGGTAGCTGTGTGTGAAAGAGTCCCATGCCACACTCTGACCCAGTGTGTCTGCCTCACAAAGATATATCTGTACTCCACTTCTCAGCAGTCCTAGCACCTCTTCACCCCCACCACCAGATGTGCACTCTGCAACAATTCTGACACTGGCTGACAGCACTCTGGCCCCATTCTGACCTAGAGCAATCCCATCCCCATACAGGTATGTTAACCCCATCTTCCTCTGATATCCCAGTATCTCCCTCTCCCTGTACAGGCATGCGGATGTTGCAACTTGCACCCCACTCTGGGCCCAGCATTCACCCTTCTCTGCACATGTATATGCAACACATTCCAGCCTCAGCATCTCCTCACTCAAACAGCTGTATGCAGGTCAGTATCCCTGTGCTCTGCACCAGTATAACATCACGTACATTACACCTAGGTCTGTCTATTCCCCACACTAGCCCAGGGAAATATTGAGGAGAGGGGTGTAGCCTAAAGCTAACCAGCAATTACGCACTAAATCCCTTTGTGGATATTTGCAGCTTTGGTCAAATATTGTAGGTATAAATTTTCAGAAGAGGCCACTAATTTTGTGTGCTTCAGTTTCTGGGTTCCCAAAACGGAGACACTCAGGGTCTGATGTTTAGAGACGCCGAGCCACCACAAATCCATCTGCAGTCACTTTTCAGGTAGAACTGCATTTTGAATAGTTTGTGTGTACTCATCTGCTCTCATGATTAAACAGTTCAGCTTATTTGTCAGCATGATTTCCCCTAGGACGACAGCATGGAGTTTCCCTTGCATCATGCAGAAACAGTTCACGCGAGCTTTAGGGTGCGGGACATCCATTCAGGCATTATTATGTGTAAAAGCAGGTGTTATGCAAATGATTTTTATGAAATGATCTTTGAGGCTGCATAATACTTTGGGTGCATTCATAAATACCTGGGAAAACTGTTTCCCACTGCCTTTTCTCTCTTTAGGACTCAGGAAACCTCTGTGGGGTGGAATATTTAACAAAAGAAATACATCTGTATTTCTCAATTCCAGATATAGGGCCAAATTCATCCCTGGAGTGACTTCAATAAAGCTGCAACAGAGATGAATTTGCCCCATATATTCTTTGACTGTTTCTTCATATTACAGGAAATATCCCCCAGGACAATCCATTCCCATTTTATCCATCAATATGAAAAACTAGGTGAAAAGTTGTAAACATATTGGTTGCAAAGGGTGAAATCTCAGCCCCACTAAAGTCAATGGAAATTTTGCCATTGAC